ACATTTTAAATCCCCAGGCACCTCAGTTTCTTGGAGTCTGTGCTTTGACAAGATCTGTCTAGGAAGAGAAGGATGCAAACAAGAAATAAAAAACTTCATAAGCAGATACCTCCGCTCTCAGTTATTTTGCTGACCCTAGCATCGGTTTCTTGCCTTTTTCCTCCTACTCCTCGTAACAGAATTATGGATCCAAGCTTACTGAGAGAGCGAGAGCTGTTCAAAAAGCGTGCCCTCTCCACACCAGCAGTAGAAAAACGTCCAGCGCCATCTTCTGACTCCTCTTCTTCAAAAAAGAAGAAAGCAAAGGTAGAACAAGGTGGCTCCTCAAGCTCAAAACAGAACACAGGTTGGTGAAAGTCTCCTGTTCAACAGTGGTTTGGTGTTTTCCACTGTCTGCCTCTAAGCTATGGTTTATTAATATGGATCAGTCTGCTTGTGAATTTTGCTAGTGGCTGTTGTCATTCTTTTGCTTAAATTGTCACTTTTTATGAAGAAATTCACTTACGCAATGGAAAAAAACACTTTTGCTACCACTTGTACATGTCAGGCCTCATTCCGTGACTTGTTTGCTGTTACTCAGTTGGAGGAATCGCAAGTGCTAAAATAATATTTCCTATGAAGCTGAGCTTTGGTTTGTGGATTTCAGGGCTTGTTGGACCCACAGGGCAACCAGGAACGGTGCTCTTATTCTTTTTCGCTGCTCTGTCTTTCTGCCAAGAGAGGGCCTAAACTGAATTTTGTTAACTGTAAGTCGTAGGCTGCCCATCCAAGAGATGGATTTAGCAACTTATGCCTTGTCTGGCTAGCGTATGGTGATTAGCGATCGTTCTTGTTTTACCTGGGAGGTAGTCTTTGTGCATGAACACCAGGGCTTCTGTAGGTTTCTGTCAGCTTTGGTCAGGAGTTTTGTCGTTACCCTGGAATACACGGTGGTGCTGATGATGCACCTCTCGGTGTCAAGTAAGCAGTTAATAAAACAGCACCGAAACAGTGGGAGCAAATTAGAAGTGTGGCACCTGGAGCAGCAGGGAGACGGTTTGTGTGCACACAGCGGTGTGCTCGCTGTTCACTTCCACCGTGCGAGGTGCATAAGTTGGGGGACCTTTTCGGTTCTCTGAAAGCACTGACAGTTTTTGGATGCACTCTGAAGGTCGAGTCAAATGTTAAGGGTCACTAAAACACAAAGTACCTTGTTGTGCAAACTCACTGCATGCTTGTATTTTGAATACCGTGTGTGGCTTTCTTCTAAACTCCAAAAGAAACAATAGAGCCAAAACCAACAGAGAAGAACGTCAAGGACGATGGGAGGAGTGGAGCATTTTCTGTCTGAGGGGAAGAGTAGGTAGTTTGCTTATGTATCTCCAGCTTCAGAGGGCACTAAACAAAGTTGTCAGCCAGACAATTTAAAATAAATCAAGGGAGACCAGATTTCCATCAGTCCTTTTGCCACGCTCTCCTCTCCAAATAAAATATAATTCTACATGAAATATCCTAGACTGCCTATCCTGAGTGAGAGCGGTTTGCTGGGAAAGAAGGATGTGGAGGCAGGAAGAGGGCAGACAGTTCAAATGTGAGTCTGATCTGGAGGATTTGAGTAGATACGTGGCCAAGCAGCAGAGCAGGTAAGTTGTATTTTCTTTTCTGTGATTTTCTGCGCTGGGTATTTCTTTAAGTGCTTTTGCAGTTGTCAGATGATTATCTTACACAAATAGGAACGTGTGGCTGTGAGGAAATACGTTTTATCTTTTACACTGCTGGCTTTATTCCAGACAGTATCGGAAAGGTTTCAGGGTTTCTGTAACAGTTTTATGCAGAATGAGTTCAGCCTGCTTTCATTTTCCCCTGGAGGGTATTTACTAACTACTGCAGAAGCAGCAAGGTAGGAAGGAAGGAAAATAATGGAGAGCGAGTAGAGTAACTTTCTCTCTTTTGCTTTTAGGAACTGGCTCAGAGCAAGTGTTCAGGCTGGCAAGCGTCTGAATGGGTTAAGCAGCCACAAGCAGCACAAGTTGCCCTGTGATGCTGCAGAGTAAAAAAACCCACTTTTTATTTGAATCGCCAGATTGTTAGGTGCCTGTCAGGATATGCGTGTGTCAGAGATGGGTCTTGGGGAGGTGGAGTGAAAACCTGATGTTGAAGAATCCCTGTCCCACCCCTCCCCAGAGAAATTAAAATTAAGATAATCAGTCCTGGTTTTGTTGTGTAGTGACCACAAAGACAATAAATAATGTCACAGTGATGATGTGTTGGCATTGATAATCCCTGGGTGGGGATTATGACTTGGAGAACCTGCCCTTGTCACTTTTTTGAGGAGAGGCATTGATATCATGCTAATCTTCAGATAATTGCATAGCTAAATCTGGCCTGTATGTGAAGATTTGTTGTAAGCTTTCCAGGGAGAATAGTTACTACTATAATTATTTGAAATCATTATTCAAGCAAGTTATTTGAAAAAAAGTTGAAAACTGCCTTGTGTGCTCGGTTCAGAATAGTAACTGGAAAACAAAGGAAATAGGTTGTATCTGTTTATTTCTTTTTATTGATCAATAGTCAGTGGTGGCTTAGATCTTCGTCTTTATCTTAAGACCTTTAGTGATCTTAGCCAACAGTAACCAAGAGCTGAAGTCTCCAGGAGCTGTTTCACGACTTAGTCTGCATGTGGGGAAGAATCGTCCTGAGGCCCTAGGGCGGTGCAAGGGAGGTCTTTGTCTTCTGTCCCGTGTGCAGACACCCAGCCCCCTGTATAGATCTGTGAAATAAGTAGCTGAAAGGAGTCCCAAGATTTTTCATTGTGTGTGCTTCTCGGGAAGGCATAAGAACACGAAGCCAGCGTAGCAGAGGCTAGGCATGCTACTTCTGCACACTGCCTTCTTGTGTGCAGCGATGATGAGTGTTTTGTAGGAACTCTGCAAGTGGCCAGCAGTCCCCTGGCTGTTTGGAGTGTTTGCTGTCAGGAAAGAGGCATGTTAATTAACTCACTGCATTCCAACAGCTGTTCCTGCCTCTCTCGAGCAGGACACCGGTTTTTCAGAGCTGACGCTGTCAAACGCAGCAGAAGGTAGTGAGGCATCTACCCAGGGTCCCTGACAGCGGAAGGCATTATTGTCGCTAACGTTGTCTCCATCGTATGCCTTGGTGTGAATCCTAAGTTATCTTGTACTTGGGGCCTCAGCTTCCATTAATTGTGCTTATAGTTTGATTTTTAGCTAAAAGCATTCGCTGCACGTGGGGACTGGTACTGGCGAAACTTCACCGTAACGAGTGTGTCTGAGATGAATGCTCGCAGCGGTAGTTGTGTCATTTTGTGATTGCAAATGGGAGATTGCTTCTCCAAGTGAATCACTGGACTAGCTGTGCTGGTTAGTAGTGGCCTGAGTGTCTTGTGACTCCATCTCACCAACCAGGAAGAGCACGAGTCAAATTAGCAAGTCTTTTGTTGTGTCCAGATCTTCTGGAGCTTAGGCATAATGAACCTGATAGTCTTTATATATTAAAAAAAAAAAAAAGAGAGAGAGATTAATTATAGGCACTGGCCATAGGACAAAGGTATTTCTGACATGGATAGACTGTGAGATCGGTGCTGTAGCTTACTTGTCCATTTGGCCATTAGGTGGGTTTTCTTCCCTAATGACAGGAATGCTGTTTGGGTTTTATACAGTTAAACGTCTTGTCCCACACGTAGCTTTGGTCTGGGATGTTTCTCGCTGGCCTGCTTCGCTATGGGTTCAGGAGTGTGAAAGACTTACCAGGCAGTACTGACGGCCACACTGTTGGATGCCATTATTACAGTTGTAATTTGTAACTGCAAAACTTTTATGGAAAACTATAGATGCAATGTAGCTACAGAAGAAAAATAATCTGGTGAGCCAGAGGTCTGAGTGTTACATGGCCAGTTCATGAGAAAGGTATGAGTGTGGACTCTGGGATGCATTGGCAGGCTGATGAACCAAGCTGAGATTCTCTTGTGCAACATGAAGTCACTTCTCACTGTGCGTCCATCCTGCCAGCTCTAGCGCAAGGCTTATCCCGGTATGGCCTGCTTTGTGAAGCGTGTCGACACCTGAAAGCTGCGTGCAGGCTGGGCAAAATTCGTGTCATCGGTGTGGGAGGTCCGCGACCCATCTGCCTGTGTTCCTTGGGAAGAACCCGGTCAGTTCCAGTTCAGCTTTGAAAAGTTTGGATAGGGATGGTACATCCAGCACGTCTTACTCCCTGTAGTGTTGTGGTTGCCGTAAAGGCGGGAGCGTTTGGGCGGAAAAATGTCACTGTTTCTTCTAGACCATAGTACCACTACAGTATATTTTTGTGGAAATAGTCAGATATTCGAAAGGTAGTGCAGTAGTCGCATCTCAACACCCAGAAGCTGTTAAAACAGGTTGAATATGAAGTAAGGGGAGAGCAGTTCTCTGGAACTGGAGAAGGGGAGGGAGAAAGGGTCAAATTGTACCACAGGAGGTTAGAAAAGACCATTTTTAGGGATACATTTCATGTTGGCTGACTTTTTCTCCCACCACCTTCTCTTCTAAAAGCAAGAAGCTTGTGATAAGGAGAGCTGCCGAAGGCAAGAATTCGCACAAGCCTCTCCTGTCTCGTGAGATCTCTCGCCATTCCACTCTTCTATCTCGTATCTTTTTTCTGACTCCTTGTATGGCTTTCCTGTCTCTGTGTGGTTGACTTCAGTGGGAGGACAGTGTTGTGTCTTTGCACTATGTATGATCAGATTGTGGAGCACTTTTATAAACGTTTTCTCTAGTTAAGCAACATAGTTTTATGCATGTTAGGCAACATTTGTTCACTCAGATGACAAAGATCTATGCTAGTAACTCAATATAAACAACAAAAGTTCATTTAAAACCAAAAATCTTTTCTTCCCCCATAACATTGCAACAGGTCATCTTTCTGCTAAGCACTCAGAAAGCCTTTGCCAATTATTCAGGTTCACATCCAGAGACAAAATGATAACTGTTGCTGTTGTATTTAAGTCCAAAATAATAAAAGCATGTGACTTGCTTATTCGTAAGGTACAAGAGGCTTCATTCAAGGTGTTAAGCGTTCTTCAAGTTCTGATGCTCAGTCTTTCCTACACCACCTCTGTTTCATGCTTTCTGAAGCTGTTCATCATGGCTCTAACAGGATTGGGTTCATTCTCCAAGTCTTTCACCGTTTTATTTTTCACACAGCAGCAACAGTCTAGCAGTTCGTAGAGGAAAGCCAACACCACCAGAGAAACTACAGTAAAGATGAATATGATCAGAATAATAAAGCAGGCAGTGTTCCAGTTATCATGGAAAGGGTAAATTTTTTGCACTTGAAAGCCCAGATACTGAGAAACAGATGTAGTCTCATTCCAGTGAGTGGTGTTGAGGGTTGCCATTCTTGAAGAGTTGTGTTAGCTTGTTCACAGTCACAAATTTGGGGGCTGAAACAGAAAAACAAAGCTGTTGAGGACTCTCTTGATCCAAGAACATGCTGGGATTTTTTATCCCAAACTGTAAGAACTTAAGCTCAGACTTAAGTGCTCACACCTCTTACAAATGTGGATTGTTGCATAGTCGTGTTTGCTCACAGAACTCAAACTCCAAATGTACAACTTTGTGATTTATCTGGAACGTTTATTTCGATGATGACTGGTCCACGCATGCATCGTGTAATGTAAGTTATTCTGGAATGAGCAAGCTTTCCTTCTTTTTTCAAGTATATGCAAAGACGAAAAGGTTACAAACATAACTTTCGAGGTAGGCGGTGGTTTCAGCAACCTGTCCATCACTAGTCTTGAGGTTGATACTTGCATGGTGTGAAAGCCCTCAGCGCTCTTTTGGCATTGTTAGAAAAACAGGAGGTCCCTGTACCACCCTCCCATACCTGAGTGACGAGAAGAACTTAGTACATGTTAATGTCATTGGAGTTTGCTGGTTTGGGTTTTCTTTCCTCCTATTCGGGAGAAAGAAAGAAATCACTCTTTAAAAAAAGGAAAGTGTAAATCGTAACTATTTTGGAGGATGTTTCCATGGAACGGAATTGAACCAAACTAATAGATAACAAGGAAAACCCAACCCTTGCTGAGGAGTTCCCATTTCTTATTTTCAACTGCATTCCCTGCTTAACTGCTAGGAAAGGAATGTCGTCTTTGGTCCAGTACAGTCTGTCTGTACCCAACAGAGGAAAAGACTGCTTTGTGGTGCGGGGGAGGGATGAAACAAGAAGTTGGCTTCAGCAAATCTGCATTTGGCACGAATGGTATTGTTGCTGAGATGTACTGCTTTGGAAAGGCCGTTGCTTAAAAGTGTGAAAGTAGGCTGTGCCTCAGTGATTTCTGTGGTATATCTAGAACAAAAAAGCAGTTTTGCCTGTCTCTGAATTTCTCTGTGAATTATGTATAAGTAGGCAGATGAGGTGTTAGGCAATAACATCTTCACAGTTACGCGTCTCTCTTTCCCCCTGGTTTCCTTCTTTTCCTGACTTTGCTTCCCAAAACTGAGGCAACTTCTGGTACTTTTGGTATATAGTCTAATGTAATAAAAAATGTCCACGGAGCCACAGTAACTTGTGGTTACCTGTCATAGTGTTCTGCAGGATGCCGTAATAACCTTTGAATCCTTCAGGCAATTTACTACTGGGTGTGGGAGAAGGAGATTGAGTTAGATCTCCATATTCCCTTGAGGAAATTGCAAGGAGGCTTTAGGTGAAACACGGTGGTGAGCAGCACTAATGGGCTAGCCAGTGCCTTTGCATGTAAGCCTGCCTGCGAGCCGGCTAATGGGCAGCTCACAAAGTGCGCTTTTGTCTGCTGGGGTGCCCCAGAAAGCGTGAGATTATGGAAGGGGAAAAGGGTGCCAAAATGGTAACTTTGTAGAAACCTGGAGTCTTATTTCCATGCCACAATGAAAGATTTTTTGCTTTGAACATAAAGCAAAAAGTGAAAACCTAGCTATGTTCATTACAAAATGGTCCTGGCTACTCACATTTAGTTTAATTTCATTCAGTAATCAAAACTACAGAACGAAGGGGTAATGCTGATGTTTTGTTCCTTAACTGTGCTCACAGGTAATGCTTTAATGAACCTTGTGTATCCAGGAATAATTCTGCAGTCAACTTGTTCAGGCAGTGAAAACTACAAAATGTCTGAATGAATGAGAAGTGACAAAAGCAAAGTATGATGGTCTCTACTAAAACAGATGATTTCAAGCACTCTAAGCACCTGTCATTCTTTTTGTGTCATTATTTAAAAAAAGGATATTGTGAAAACCAGGATGATGCCGCCAAACCAGCTTGCGATTTATGTCTTATTCTTATTTTTCGAATATTATACATTTTGTTCTTTATTATTCTGTCTTAAATGGATTTAAATTGAAGCGGAATAGCTTTGTTATTGGGAAGATACCTGGCATTAGCATTTGATACAGACGTTTATTGGAGCAGTTGCAGTAACTTACTGTTTCCTCTGTTAAATCTAACTGAATACACAGATTTGTAATTGAATATACAGAGTACGACTGAGATGGATAGGATTAATTAAACTGTTTTGGTTTGGTTTGGTTTTTTTTACTTAAACAAAAGTTTACAGAGGAAATCCAAGCTGAAAATACTCCTGAGTTGAGTTGGGTCCTGGCTTTGAGAGCGTGGCCTGGTATGGTCACGGTATAGGGAGGAAACTCAGCTGACCTGTTTTATGGGGCTAAAAATGAGGAGGGTTTTCGAAGGGGTGGTCTGAAGAATTATCTAAACATCTGTGAGAGAAAGGGGGCTGAATAAAAGGATTTGCAGTCCTCTATGAGCGGTAATTAAGCAGAATTTAAGTGTGTATTTTAAATGGCAAGAGAATATCCTTGGGAAGGAAAGGAGAGGAGTTTTGTTTTGAACTTTTTAAACAGATTGCTAAGACTGAGGATTTTGGTGGAATCTGTTACACGTAAATTTGCTGACGCTATAAACACCAGGCACAAAAATTAACTGTTTCCACTGATGCAAAATTTAGTATTTTAGTCATTGCGAAACCGATCAAGATTTGGGGCCACTGGAGAGAACTGGGGATGTTTACGTTGTGTAGCTGCGACCCTTTGCCAGCACAGCTCTCTGCCAAGGCGGTAGCTCTGTCCGCGGGAGGAGAGGAGCATCTTCGGCACGGCATGGCTCCCCAGGCAGGAGTCCCTGCCGCCCGGCTGCCGGCGCAGTGCAGCAGCCTGCTCCTTCCCCCTCCACAGCCACCATTAGGGCAGCCGTTCGCACAGCGTAGAGAAGCTCCTCTTTACGCAGGGAGGTAGAATTTAATGCCCATGCCAGAGGTGGTTCGTGCTTCTCGAGGATGATGATGATCCCCTTAGATTTGACTGAGGCGAGGCAGATAAATATCAGCTACTCATTGCTGTAATTATTAAAATACAAGACTGAAGTAGCTGTTGCTGAGCCTTCAGAGTTAACACAGCACTAATAAGGTTATCGTCTTTGAGAGCTGTCAAAAATGGTCTGGTTTCATGCAGTTTTACTTATTTTATAACAGCACAATTTAAATTCATTTTGTAAGCCAGTCTGATTTGAATGCAATTCAGCTGTTGTATGTATCCAAAGTGCAGTGTGTTAAATATTTAATGAATTGGCTTCTGTAATATCTGTATTAGGTTTTAATTTAAAAGTATCATTATCTTTAGACGCTGCAGAGGAGCAGCTTTATTTGAAATCATATTCATGGAGCAGAGGGAAATGACTGGCAAAAAAATGATTTCAGTGCAGTACTGAGGAAGTCCTGTTTAAGAAACCACAGAATAAGACATCTTGGGGTAATAGCATTTACAAATCTCGGATGGATTCTAACCTGTTTGTATTGTATTAATTGCTGCTCCAATATTTACAATGATAATAATATGCAACAGGATTTTCTTCCTACCCTAACGTACCGAATTTTTAGAACAGGTTTCTGGCATATCCACAAACATAGATCTCTTTAGGCAGCTTAACTGAAACGGTTTATGGAACGCCCACTTGGGAGATAGGTTTCTTAAATTTCAGGTTTGGTTGCCTTTGTTTTAAGGAAAATCCTTTCACTGTCATTTCTATAAAAACATATAGAATCAATCACAGAAACGTGAGGCTGCAGGAAACAAGCTACCTCCCCAGTAAGCATGAAATCCATTTTGTTTACTGAATCTTGGCTTGGTGTATTAGCTTTTCTGTAAGATGGAGTGGTCATCAATTTTCCATTAGTGCACAGATGGTGAAAGTGCTTGTCTGATAGTGCAAGACAAGCTCCTCTGCATTCAGCGGAATAAAATCCTGCTAAACCTAGAGAAAAATCATTCTGATTCTAAGAAGCTTTTTACAGGCTGTAGGTTACAGGCATATTTTCTTTCAGTAATCAAGATAAACCTAAGACAATGTTATAAAATGATACACACCTACCTCTTGTCTGAAAGGATGCTGAAAGAGCGCTGTTCTGGTCCCTTTTTTTAATGCAGCCTATGGCACAGCTAAGATGGAGCTCTCCTACCATTGGCCAGAGCATGGTGCTGCTGACAACTTCCTTTATGCTCATTTGCATCAAGCCCTCAACCCCAGGAGTAAATCATTCATAAATTTGACTCTTACTGTCTTGGATAAGAAACAAACCCCTTCCCGCTCTCTTTTTTGGGATGCTCTTTTGGGCGTGATGAGCTTATTAGCGGAGAAGCGTGCTCGGAGCGCGACGGTGGCCGTGACCCCGCTTTGCTTGGCGCTGGAAAGCAGCCGGTCAAACCGTGACGTTTGAAGTGCTAATATCTGCCAATTTCCACCTTCGCTGTGTGGTTAGATTTACTTGTCATGAACTGTGGCAGGCTGTTGCCAGGCTGATTAAACAAGATAATCTTGATGCAGTTGACAGAAGAAATACCTGAAAAGTCATATTAACTATTTGTTGTACCTCTGATTTTATTTTAGTCACTTTAGACCTCTCATTACACGTACGATTTTTTTATTTATAAAATGTCCTGCATAGACATTAATTTTTAATGATAAAAGGGGACCCTGTAGGGGAAAATCCCTGTAGGCTGTATTTTCAGGGGGGAGCTGGCTTTTGTTTTTCTCCTTATTTCCCTCTTAATTTAGTAACCAGAATATAACTCCAGCTACAGAAAAACATTTTACTGATTCTTCTATGCTAATTTTAGAATTGTTGTGCTATGTAAAGCCTCTAAATATGATGTCGTGTAATAGCTTCACAATTTGACGTTTGTTCCTTCAGCAGTATGTTTTTTACTGTACTAGCACCAACTTCCGTGAAGTCTTCCCCATAATTATGGAAAGTGGATTTATTTGAAATTGGACTAAATCCAAAATTCCCACTTTGTAGTTGCCTTTTACAGTGACTTGCACATCAGCTTAGAAGTAGGTTGAGATTCAGTGGGACAGACATGAAAAAAATTCACCTGAAGCATAGTGACT